AATACTGTGTGAGGGGAGGGGGTAAACACATACAGTGGAAATTGGTGAGAAATGGGATTCATTTAGAATAATTTTAATATTATAGTACTTAAGCTATTAAAGGATTAACCCAGAAAAGACATGAATATTCTCAATGCTAAAACTATTCCAGTCCTAAATCTACAGTTACTGGAGAGAGTTTCAAACTATAGAAAACTTGTTGATATGTTCAACTTGAGTACCTTTTAAGAACCTCAGATCCTCTATTGCAGAGTCAATTTGTATGCTTATTATTCTTCTAGTTAACTAGTGGAGCTGTGTGGGTTCAGTTTAATGATGGGTCCCAGCTGGTTGTCCAGGCAGGAGTATCTTCTATCAGTTACACGTCACCAAATGGTCAAACAACTAGGTAAGTTTTTAAAAATACTAGTTCAGATAACACCATTTATACATTTCGCTTTCTTGCTATGCAAAAATAATAAAATTACCGTCTCGCTTTTTGAGACAAAGTCTGGGTAACTTGTGGAGACTGGCCTTGAATTTTCTATCCTCCTGAGCTCCAGAGTCACTGGGATTATAGGCATGCACCACCGCTCCCCTGGCTACCATTCTTCAAAGTGTTCATTATTCTTAGAAGATCGTATCATGTTTCTAATGCCTATTTTATAATTATCTACATTAATGCAGGGCAATTGGTATGAATAATCTGCTCCTAATCCATTCAAGTCGTTAGATAACTTGTAACCCCCTTTTTTCAAGGCTATTGGGAATTTAACCTAGAGGCTTGCATATACTAGTCAAGTGCTCTACACCTGACCTAAATCCCTAATACCTCTGTGCAGCTTTACTCCATAGTCTAACTAGGTTGGACCTTTGCAGAAAATTCTAATGAAGTTGAAAGTAGTATACCTAAAAAAAGCATAGAAACAAATCTGTCTTTTAAAGATAACTTGAGGGCTGGAGCTGTAAATGGCAGAGAATTTGCCTAGCATGTGTGAGGCTCTGAGTTCAATCCTCAGCACCACATAAAAGTAAAATAGAGGCATACTGTCCATCTACAACCACAAAAAAATAAACAAAAAACCCAGTTATGCATTTGGAAAATAAAATTTAAAAAACTTGATTATTTTTCCCAAATGAAACGGTATATCCCCTGATCTAGTGATTAATGAATGTAAACAGTTGGCCTTCCATATACAGATTCCACATCCACAGTTCAACCAACAGGTCAAATATATTTGAAAAGATTGTACTGAATGTGTACAGAATTTTTTTTTATTCCCTAAATAATACAGTATAACTATTTAGGTAAAATTTACATTGCATTTGATATTACAAGTAATCTTGAGAGGGCTTAATGTAAATGGGAGGATGTGTATAGGTGATATGTAAATATTGATCCATGTTATGGAATGGAATTGTGTATTCTCAGATTTTGGTATCTATGAGGGTTCTGGAAACTGTCCCCTAAACATGCCAAGTGACAACTTTTTATTCACTCTGCATGAATATGTGTGCTGGGCATCATGCCAGAAATAAGAAATCTGTCAATAGCATGAAAAAGTTTCCATATTTAAAACATGACTTGTTGGGCTGGGATTGTGGCTCAGCGGTAGAGTGCTCATCTTGCACGCGCGGGACCCTGGGTTGGATCCTTAGCACCACGTAAAAAATTTAAAAAATGAGTGAAATAAAGGTATAATTTTTTTTTTAAATATAAATAAATAAAACATGACTTGTTAGAAAGACCTAAGTCATGGCGGTGCTAACAGAAACATGCTGCTTCATGTGGTCTTTCTGTTGTAGTAGACATGTGTAGGGCAACTGTAATTTGTGGCTCTCATGCTTTTTGTGAAATGCATGTGTATGTGCAGTAGCATCACTTCAGTAATTGCTCATAGGAATCGTTAAAAACACTTTAAATGCTCCAGGAAGTGGAAGGGTGCAGATGTAGAGTGGGTGGGATACATGTTCACAGATGAATGCTGCAATTCTACTGACAAGGTTAATTGCAAGTTCTTAACATCTAATAGAAATGTATTCATGTTTAACTTAGTGTTTCCTTGAGAAAGCATTCAAGGAATGAAACCTTGTTTCAGAAAATATAGTTAGTTCGAGTTTTTTATTTTCTTGTTATTTAAATGTTTATAAATTGTTCTCTTTTTTGGTACCAGGGATTGAACCTAGGAATGCTTAATCACTGAGCTACATCCTAGCCCTTTTTATGTTGTGTTTTGTTTTAACTTAGAGACAGGGTCTCACTGAGTTGCTTAGGCCCTTGCTAAGTTGCTGAGGCTGGCTTTGAACTCATGATCCTCCTGCCTTATCCTCTCCAGTCACTGGGATTACAGGCCTGTGCCACCATGCCTGGCTAATTATTCTACTTTAAGAAGAAAAAAAATGGGTATGCTTCACTAGATTGAGGTGACTAATAAATAATTGTGTTTGATTGTTTTAATATCTTTATTTATTTTTATGTGGTGCTAAGGATCAAACCCTGTGCCTTACATGTGCACGACAAGTGCTCTGCCACTGAGCCATAACCCCAACCCCACGTGGATGATTTTTCCTGAGATCTCTTGTCATTGAAGAATAAAAAATATAATATGGGTTTTGGTATTCCTTAAGAATGGAGAGATGATTATGGTTTTATCTTTTTTTCTTTTACTTCTCTTAGGTATGGAGACAATGAAAAATTACCGGAATACATCAAACAGAAATTACAGTGTCTTTCTTCCATCCTGTTGATGTTTTCTAATGCAACTCCTGGTTTTCATTGATTGAAAAGATACCTACATTTAATAAATAACTTTTTGGTTGGCTTTCAAGTAAAGTGACTTTTTATTTAATATAACTTCAGAAAGCCTATTAAAGAGAATTTTAATCTGTACAGTAAAGGATGTGTGCTGAGAAAACTGAATGAAATTTGAGTCAACAAATAATTGGTCGCAGAGTACAATAGGATGCCTAACTTTGCTCTGAAAACATACCCTCAAGCTTACTGAGTATATTTGTATTGAATGTTTTTTTTAAAGCAAAAATATAAATGGTGTGTGGTGTATTTATGCTTTTATTGTTTCTCTACTTCCCAGACATGTTGAGAATCATGGACAAAATATGCTGTAGTTTGGAATTTTTGAACATGTAAATAATATGTATTTGTTATAAGTAACATATGTAAACATGTATAGTTGTTTTATATTTATTTTTGTAGCACCAGTGTCTGCTTAAACATTTTGGCAAATGCATTTTATAAAAAAAAAATAAATATAACAAGAAGTAATTTTATCTTTTGACTTATTTAAATACTTTAAAATAAGTTACTACAAACTCATTTTTAAATTTTCTTGTTTAGGAAACAAATTTTATAACTTAATTAAATGTTAAACATATTCTCTTAAATGAATGTATATGTATATTTTAATGCAAACATTTTAACACTGAGGAACTTAACGTTGTAATTAATTGGCATGAAGAACTATTTGATAGTGGGATAGCCATTCCTAATGAAAGTAGAGCCGGGCACAGTGACAGTGGCTCGAGAGGCTAAGGCAGGAGGATCACAAGTTCCAGGCTAGCCTCAGCAACCCTGTCTCAAAAAAAATAACAAGGACTAGGGATGTAGCTCAGTGGTAGATCCCCTGGGTTCATTCGTCACCAACCCCCATAGGTGTGTGTATGAATATATATATATTACAGACTCACATGTTTATAAATAGAATGAAAACACAAATTTGATAGACTATTTAACCTCATGTTTCCTCCTAGGTCATTTTTTTGGGGTGTATATTGTATGTATGAACTGGGGATTGAACCTAGGGGCACTTAGCCTCTGAGCCCCAGCCCCCCCGCCCCCGCACACTTTTTTTTTTTTTTAAATTTTGGGACAGTATCCCACTAAGTTGTTGAGGCTGGCCTTGAACTTGGGATCCTCCTGCCTCAGCCTAGAGTCACTGGGATTCTGGTGCACCTGCACACAAGTTCAAGACATGAACTTGTTGGATCTTGGGAATTATTTATCTTAAACTTCGGTAGATAATGCCAATTTTTTTTGTATTTCTGCAGTATATGAAAGTACAGATTGCTCCTCATCCTCACCGGAACCTGGTGTTGTAGTCATTTTAAATTAGTGCCAATTTGACAAGCATAGAATAGTACAGAATAGTATTAATAATAGAATTGTACAAATGTACTATTCTGTGCTTGTCAAATTGGCACTAATTTAAAATGATTCCAACACCAGGTTCTGGTGAGGATGAGGAACAATCTGACTTTAATTTACATTTCCCCTATTACTAAAAATTGTGCTTTTTATTGAATGACAATCTACCTTTTCACATTGGGGTGTCTGCATTTTCTCAGTGGCATTTAGAACTCTAGGTGTACATCCTTTGTCAAGATACATGTCAAAATACCTTCTTCCATCTGAGTTGGTCACTTCATTGTGGTTGAGATTTTAACTTGATAGGATTATTTAGAAATTGTTGACATTTACTAGAAATGTATTCATAATGTTTTGTTTGGTATTTTCTTTAGAATTAGGGCTTTCAATTTAACAAGGAATCCTGATTGGTTTGGTTCCCCTAGCCTTGACTAACAGAATTTTGCTCCTCATCTCTGTACTCCAGCTTCCTCAGGTCGGCTTTTGGTTCTGGGACCTCCAAGATGATCTCACCTCTGGGGTTCCTATAAGCCCTGCCTGTCCCACTCCTCACCAATCCCAATCATCCTCTTCCATCAGGTCTTAGGTAATCATTACTTCATTAGAGACATGCTCCCAACTTTCCTGGTCCTGGTTCCCTGTTACTCTCAGAGCTCCCTACACTCCTGTTTCCTCACATGTCACTTTTCCTCAGTCATACTCGGCCATGTAACATGAAACTCAGGCCTGAGATTCCTGCCTCCTGTGAGGAGGGGCTCTGTATATTTTTCCTGCTCCATATTCAACAATTACATAGTAATTGTAATATAGTGGGTGTCCCCTTAAATATGTACTGAAAGTATGGTTAAAATTTTAAGGCTAAGGTACATAAATTTGTTTATTAGAAAGTGAACATTCACAGTACAACAGACAAAATTACACATGAATCTACAATAGTACACAGAATTTCTTCTCAAAATAAATTAATTCTTGAACAGATGCAAATAGTTTATCCTTGTCCAGATAAAAAAAGTTATAAACTTTATTTCACCTTATGTAAGAAAATACAAGACAAGCTTAGCAAAATAGAATATTTTATGAAGTTATAAATCCACTCAAAATATGCTTAGGTCTTCAAAAATATCTTTTTCTAAATATGTTCTTTTGGTTTTTCCTGGTACTGGGCATTGAACCCAGGGTGCTCTGCCACTGAGCCACATTCTTAGCACTTTTTGTTTTGAGACAGGATCTTGCCAAATTGCCCAGGTTGGCCTGAAACTTTGAATCCTCCTGCCTCGGCCTCCCAAGTTGCTGGGATTATAAAATGCATATGCCACCATGCCTGGCAATGTTAAACCACTCCTAGTTTTTCATAATTTAAGGACTCTACATCATCTTTAATTTATACTCATTCTGTCCAATGGAAGAGTTAAACTAAGTTATTTAATTATTTCTCAAACTACTTCCCTGTTCTTTCCCAAAACCCGTTATTGCCCTATCTTTGGTGTTAGACCAAGAAAGCACTGTCAATAAAAAAGACGGTGGCAGTCAGTTTTGCAAGGTTATAGTTTATCTGAATTGTAATCAAAGAATAACTTTAGAAGCTGGGAATTTTTCTTGTCATATTCTTGTTAAAAACATGCTATGTTTTATAAAATTCTGGGGGAGAGGTGTTAATTGTTTGCCAAATATTTCTGCTAACAAAAGTCACTGGTACAGGTAACTTAATTTACCTCACAATTAGTAATCTATTAATAATCCAACTTCATGGTTATTTTCCCTTATGAAAAATATAGTGGTTAAGAACTAGACGAAAGACCTAGACAAGTAACTTCTCTATGCCTTCATTCTTCCATCTCTAAAATGGGAATAACAGTATCCTCACCCTATAGAATAGTTGTGATAAATTACACGTTACCAGGAATATGGAAAGAATTCCATAAATATTCATTATTATTATCATGATTGTTATTATCCATCGTGCACACACTACCCAAACCAAGGGTGGAGTTTGCTCTTTATGATTAAAAGTGAGACAAAAACTGAGAAGCTTCAGAATGAAAGGTAAAGGTGATTCCAGGATTTCACCAAATTGCCAGAAGCTTGCTGATGACCTGTAAGCAGAGTCCTGCTAGAGAGGTGGAGAAGAGTGAAAAACCTCTAAAACATAACTGTACAGTGAGTTCGAGAACATTAAGCCTTCCATTAGAGCTGATGAAATTGGGTGGAGGAGTATTTCTTACTGTAAAGTGCAGATTATGTATTTATTCTTAAGATTTCGAAATGCTTATAACGTAAAATAGGAAACTTTTGGAAGGATATTTACCACTATTTTTGCAGTTTTGTTATTACCACGTGTACAGTTCTGTACTAGTAACTTACCAGCATCCTATGTACCAATAAACTGTTCGATGAAAGCCATTCTGCTCAGATGCTTATTAACCTGAATTGACAGGGCTGTTAGTTCCCATCCAAATTTAAAATCCAACTAAAATTCTATAGCTCTTTAACAGCTCTGCAGACAAGGGACTGTTGTGTTCCCTCTTGTAATTTAGATGGGCAGTATTTAATCACAGTGAATTTTTCTCTAAAGCTTAAAGGAGTTGGGATATAGCAATAATTTTAAGAAATCATGTACTGTTGAATACATGGATACAAAGTGAATTATTAGCACTTCCAAGAATTAAATAGTGTAACTCCACTAAAGGCCAAGATATCCATTTTGACCTCTTCATTTTTCAAATATTAACATTTTTCTTGCTCACATATCAATTTAGGGTTCAGTGAAATACTGAACTAAAATAAGACAGAGATGCAGTATTACAATAAAGATTTATATAAGACAGGAAGGATGGCAGGCATGCTAAATGGAGAATTTAAGGGTCATGATTTTTACTTCGCAAGGAAATGTAAGAACACAAAATGTGTTTTTATAAATAAAAAGTAGTTGTCTTTGAATTAAAATACCTCTTTAGGCAAAAAAAATTCTATAATTTCATTCTATAATACAGCTAATTGGTACAGAACTTGTCCTGGTTCCACTGCATATTCTCTCATTATTTTAATGACACTTTTGTAGTCTGTACTAAGAGTGTAGTTTTCACACCTATAGACCACTGCCACTCACTGTTTAGTTCATGAAATCCCAAAAGGGCATAATAAGAAAAATATAGGAAATTATGACCCAGAATGTTTTATGTGTCCTACTATTCACAATCGCATGTAGAATCCCCTCTGTTATTTACATATGTTCTTGTTTTTCAAAATGTGCAATGTATCCACAGCCTGTATATGGTGACTGGATCGTAGCAATTGTGGGGCATAGCTTTCGACTATGAAATGCCACACAAATCAAGTATGTTCCACCATAGTCTTAGCTACCTTACTCCTGAATCCTCCCACATCTTACAGAAAAGGCAATGAGTCTCTTGTAAACCGCTCCGAGGAGTGTGATGGTGAGCAGGATGATCACACACACAAGGCTGAACGCCCATCGTGGCCCCAAGTAAGTATACACGTGACTGATGAACACAGGCCCAAGAATCCGGGCTCCACTTCCAGAAGCTGTCAGCCAGCCCATATACACTCCCTGTGGAGAGTGAGCAGGGGACAAGCAGAAAAATATTAAGGGTTAGTAATTTTAAAACAAAACAAATCTTGAATAATGAACTTTGTTCATATTATAGTCAGTTTAAAAAAACATTTTTTTTTTTTTTTGATACTGCGGATTGAACCCAGGTCCTCACATATGATAGGCAAGCACTCTACCACTAACCGACATCCTCAGCCCTAAAGGAACAAACTTAATATCAGGTGAAGCCCCGAAAACAAGATAATTTATTCATATGCCATTTAAAAATAATATTTATTTTGTATTTGCTGCATGCCAGATGCTGAGTTAGGGGTTTATATATATATTGTTTCACATTTTTACAACGTTTGTCAATAAGTGTTGTTCCTGCTTAACAGGCTAAAACTCAGAAAGTTGTGTTTGGGCCACCCATCTGCACCACTTTATATCATAATACCACTCCTACAACTACATATCCCAAACCCTAACCCACACAATCTACCCAAGAATATTCAGTGCAGCATCACGCTTGATAACCCCAGACTGAAAACAACCTGAGTGTCCATAGTAAATCAACTAAATAAATTATGATACATTTAATAACTGGAATGGTGATCAGTTAAAGTATAAGGTCTTATACAGGGTAAAATCTTTCATAAGAAAGATTACTTTTCATAAGAAAGATTACTCTCTCCCTCTCCCCTCCCTCTCCTCTCTATTCTCTCCTTCTTACTCTTCTCCCTCTCAGCCTCTCCCCCCCCACCTCTCTCTCTCTCCACCCCCTTCTCTTCTGCGATTGGCCACTACAGTCCTGCTAATAAAATCTCGGACAGGTTAAAAAAAAAAAAAAAGAAGAACATATTAATGTAATTACTTCTTTCCATGATAGTGCCTAAAGTAAAAAAAATAATAATTATTTGTAGAAAAACTACATATATATGTACTATAATCTGTTGTGCCTTTTTTTAAAGGCATTGAATAGCTGTTTGAATAGGCAAAGAAAAATATATTGAGGGTTCAAATGAAGTTAATAGCATCTGGTGCAGTGAAGATAAGGGGAGTCTTCTTTTTCTCCTGTTTACATTTTTAAATAATTTTAATTTTATTATAACAATCATATATTGCTTTTGTAATTAATATTTTTTTCTCTCTTTTGGTACTAAGGACTGAACTCAGGGGTGCTTAACCACTGAGAAATATCCCCACCGCTTTTAATTTTTATTGTGAGACAGGGTCTTGCTAAATTGTTTGGTGCCTCACTGAGTTGCTGAGGCTGGCCACAAACTTGTGATCCTCCTGCCTGAGCCTCCCCAGTTGCTGGGATTACAGGTGTGTGCCTCCACACCCAGCTTTTTTTTTTTTTGAGATAGGGTCTATGTTGGGCTCAAGTGAACCTCCTTTCTCAGACTCTGCAGTAGCTGGAATTATAAGCATATGCCATAGCATCCAGCTTATGCCTTTATTCTTAATTTTGAAAAACTGAAAATATAGTATTCAGGTTAAAAACAAACCCAGGACTGGAGGTGTACTTTATTATTGGTAGAGAACCTAGCTCACATACTTGAGGCCCTGGGTTCAATACACAGCACGGAAAATACACCACCCCCCCCCCAAAAAAAAAAAAAAAAAACCCTACCAAAATATTTTATCTATAGATTTTTCTCCTTGCTGATTCCAATAAAAAACCCTATTTGAGTAAAGCTATCATCTTAATTTTAAAAGGAGGTAGATAGTATTTTTATTTTGTGGTCAGGGCTGGAGTTTTTGCTCAACGGTAGAGCACATACTTAGCATGTTTGAGGCCTCAAGTTCAATCTTCAGAACTACCAAAAAAAATAGAATAAGAGTTAGAAGCAAAATCTGAAAATAGTCTAAATGATAGCACAGCTGAATGTGGTGGTGCACACCTGTAATTGCAGCTACTCTGGAGGTTCAGATAGAAAGATCCCAAATTTGAGGTCAGCCTCAGCAACTTACCATGACCCTGTCTCAAAATAAAATAAAAAGGTAGAAAGCCTCTGGGTTCAATCCCGGTACCGAAGAAAGAATAAATGGAGTACAATGTTTCCATTAAAATAATTCACTAGCTGGCTTAGTGGTGCACACCTGTAATCCAGTGGCTTGGGAGGCTGGGGCAGGAGAATCTCAAGTTAAAAGCCAATCTCAGCAACAGCGAGGCACTAAGCAACTCAGACCCTGTCTCTAAATAAAATACAAAATAGGACTAGGGATGTGGCTCAATGGTTAAGTGCCTCTGAGTTCAATCCCTGGTACAAAAAAAAAAAAAAAAAAAAAAAAATTCACTAAAAGAAAATCAAATGGCATGGAAGAGTATTCACAACATGTTATATATTTTTGATGCCATTTTTTGTGTTGAACACACATAAGCATAGAAGCATAACTTCATCAAAATCTTAGTAGTAATTGCCTCTCTGATAGTTTTCTTTTTGCTTCTGTATTTTTTTCCAATTTTATATAATGAATGAGAGAATTAAAATTCCTATTTATTCATTTTTGCAGCTCTGGGTACCAAACCCAAGGCCTTATGTATGCTAGGTAAGTGTTCTACCACTGAGCTATAACTTTGGTCCATGAAATTCTTACTTAAAAGTTAATTTTGGAACTGGGCACGATGGCACATGCCTATAATCCCAGAAGCTCTGGAGGCTGAGCCTGGAGGATGGGAATTCAAAGCCAGCCTCAGCAAAAGTGAGGCACTAAGCAACTCAGTGAGACCCTATCTCTAAATAAAGTACAAAATAGGGCTGGGGGTGTGGCTCAGTGGTTGAGTGCCCTTGAATTCAATCCTAAGTACCCCCCCCAAAAAAAGTTAGTTTTAGGCTGAAGGTATATGCAGTTCAGTGATATAGTGCTTGTCTAGCCTGTAGGTTTGATCCCAAGCACCACAAAATAATAATCTAAAAATATACATAGCCTTTGTAAACTTTTAAGATATTTGTGCTTTTCACCTCTTAGTAATGGCTTCTGGAGTCAGAAGAAATTAAGCCTAGATCCAAATGTGGCTACCAATTATGGTTCCCTTAATGTTGCCTAATTTAAGAATTTCAGAAATTTATGCTTCAAATTTTTTTTTCAGTGAAAATGATTTTGAGCTCATAATCACTAGCATCCTAATCACATTAGCATACTGTTTGTGAAGTTTCAGTAAATAAACCTTATAAATACTTGACAAAGGTTGTTTGCTTTTTAAAACTTAAAATGCTAATAAATGTGGTAAAAATCCCCCAATGTGCTACAGTAAGTATGTCTTATAATTGCAATGTCAGGGAAGCCTGCTTACCTGAGGCTTTGGTCCTAGAATTTTTGAATATAATGTATAAGACATAACATTACAGGCTGGATAGCCTATTCCAACCAGCACAGCTGATGTGAAGAACTGGGCCAGGTGGATCACTGGGGTGTAGAGGCACCAGGCTTGCTCAACTGGGCAACCAACTGGCCGTTCATTATGATATTCTCTTGCAGACTTCCAAAAACCAATCATAATTTCCCCAAATGTGGTATCAGGGATTGAATTATTATGTAAATCTGTGAAAACAAAATTAGTATGGTGTAGGACTTGCTAATTTTAGCTAAACACCAGGAGATAATGTTATAGAATCATGTACCTTCCCACTGTATTTTGGGGAACTGACTTCCCCAAGGTAACAAGATAAAGAAGCCAACCCACACAACGATGAGTCCTCCCAGTAGAATAGCTCGCTCACCAATCCTGTCAAAGAACAGAAATTCTGTAATTTTAAAATGAAACATAGTAACAAGAGTTCCATTACTTGTATAATTAAAAAACTATAAAATTTTGATACTTTTGTGATACTTGTAAATGCAATACATAATTTCCCAATAAAAGCAACCAAAACTTCTATAAAAAAAAAAATAGCCAATTTCAGGTCTGGGACAGGAAATCCAGAAGTTGAAACTAGAATATCTTTTCCTACCGGAAAGCAAAGAAGCTATTAGTGACTATGAGGTCATGAAAATAGTACTCTGCCAATTTGAAGAAGTTGGCCAACAACTTAGCAATATGAACACCAAAAGGAAAAAATAATAATAATGGGAATTAACTGAAATACAAGAAAGTGTTATAATATATAAATTCATACTATCCTAAGATGGAACACTCTCTTGGTCACTTTTTGAGGATGCCACAGAACCATCTTATCATTTTAAATAACAGTTAATTAAAGGAAAAAATCAAACATGTATCCTTTCTTATGCAAACTGTACTGTACCTCACAATAATCAAAGGGTTGGTGAAGAGGTTTTTTTAGTAGAATGTATTCTAGTAAATAAATGTTTTATGGAACTAAAATACAGTTGTCCCCCAGTATCTGCAAGGGATTGGTTTCAAGAGCCCCTTGAGGTTACCAAAATCCAAGGACACTCAAGTCCCTCATGTAAAATGGCACAGTAAAGGGTAATAACCTACAAACATCCTGCTCTGTATTTTAAGTCATCTCTACATTACTTATAATACCTCAAAATATAAATGTATATACTTTTATACTATATTATTTAGGAAGTGATGTTCAGAAAAAACTCCAGGTTCAGTGCAGATGCAATTTTTCCCCCAAATATTTTTATCTGAGTTTGGTTAAGTCTATGGATGGGGAGCCTCAGATCTGGAGGGCAAGCTTGTCAGCACTTAACAAGGACCCTTGGATGGATTCAGGAAATGATCGATCGTGACTTACATCATAAGGAGAGAAAAAAGACACGTTATATTTTTTCTCAGGTAAGAATATCACACCACTTATTTTCTTGCCAAAAAATGGAACCCAAATCCCTTTAAACTTTTAGATCTAAGTACAGATCAATTTTCAAAATATAGTAAACAAAGGGATATTTTAAACACTAGCAAGATCCAAAAAGCGGAAACTACAACATAAACATCCTGGCCTCAATTTCTAAGGGGGGAAGAAGAGAAAGACAAAGGGAAGGAAGAAACCAGTCAATGAAAGAGATTGAATCAAGAAAGCAAACCGAGGAACAAACTAAATTCATGTGAAATAGTCAAGAAAACACAAACTCTGTCTAGATATGTGACAATTTTCAGAAATCACTGTTCACTTTTTAGATGTGATGATGGTGTCAATGTTAAACTTTCAGTTAATGAAATATTTATGGAAAGTATGAAATGATGTCTGGTTTCAGGTTCAAAATAATCCAGATGCAGGGGAAAGAAAGTGTGGAGTAGTAGGTGGAGACAAAGATGACACTGTCCCAGTGTATGTAATTGTTGGAGCTAGATAATGGATACTAGAGGTGCAGAACATAATGCTCTCTAGACCTCTGTATGTGGAAGTTTTGCATATTAAGAGTAAAATATATAAACAAAACCAGAAGCTTTCAAAAGCAAACAAAACTAACAACATTTAAAAAAATTGAAAACCGAAGGCATCCTATCACCCTCAGAGGACCAGTAGGCTCCTCAGCTTTCAAACCTTCTGTACCATTTGGCATTTCTCTAGTTCTACTTTGGTCAAACTGGCCTTTTTGCTTGTTTCTTAAAAACATAAAAACTCAGTCTTCGCAGAAAAGAGAAGACTGAGTATATGGCTGATCTCCAACTTCACTAAAGTCTTTTTTTATTTTTTTTAATGGACACAATAACTTTATTTTGTTTATTTTTATGTGGTGCCTAGAATCAAACCTAGTGCCTCACACATGCTAGACAAATGCTCTAGCACCGAGCCACAACCACAGCCCCTGAAGTCTTTCTGAATATGACTTCCTCGGCCATGCTTCCTGGACCACTCCCAGACTCTTCACAGTGCTCACCAAGACTTGCCTTCACATCATGTTTGCTGCCCCCAACACAAGTTCTTTGAAGGTACAGAACTGGACATTTCATATACACAGCACTGCTCTATTTTTGCAGCAAGATTTCTGTCTCCATAGCACCCTCCATTGCAGTCTGACCCTACATACCAATTCAATATCTGTTGATTGATTTTAACAAGCATTAGAACTGATTTGGTCAGTTAACATCCTGCATTAGAGTTGGTGACTGAACTTCCTCCCGAGTGTGCTCCTTATAGTTACACTTTCATAAAGAAATTCTTTTAAAAATACTAGTTTTGAGAAATGCTACAAACTGTATTTGCCATATTATATGATCTTTACATACTAAAGACTTAAATGTTCTAAAATCAATTAGTTCATTAATCTTAACCAAAATTTTCCAAATTTAACCACCAAATCTTTTCTGTTATATAACATATTACATATGGCAGGACAATGTCTTATGAAACACATAAAACTTTTAGGAATACTTTTTAAACTATTTCATAACACACAAAAGCTACATTAGTAGACAGTTATTTGCTTGGTAAAATATTTTGCTTCACCAAAGATAGGCCAGAGGGGCTGTGGTTGTGGATCAGTGATAGAGCGCTTGCCTAGCACATTCGAGGCCCTGGGTTCAATCCTCAGCAAATAAAGTATAAAAAATATAAAAACAGTATTTAAAAAATGCCAGAATACAGAAATATCATGCTTAACAATCTAATTTAAATCTATTTGAAAATTTCCAAAACTAAAACTAATACATAAACGAGAGAAAAACTTTAAATTATTTTATAGCATATTCACTGACATTATTATTAGCTAGCTGTGTTTCATGTTTTTTCTTTTTTTAGTTGGACACAATATCTTTATTTATTTATTTTTATGTGGTGCTGTGGATCGAACCCAGGGCCTCGCACATGCCAGGTGAGTGCTCTACCGCTGAGACACAACCCCAGCCCATGTTTCATGTTTTGATTTTTAAAAACTAGATTTGAAACAAAACAGACAAAACTTACTTTTTGGAAAGTAATTTAACCCCCATGAAAATAACAACTGCCTCAACTCCAAGAGCAGCAAGTATTATTCCATTATACAATACAGCTTGTTCTTGAGTCCAAGCATACATGTCCATTGTCAATGGAGCAAGGATTCTAAGAAAAATAAAAAATAAACCATTGTTATTTTATTTAAATCACAGTAATTGTTAAAATGAAGTATAAGCTTTAATGATACCTTCACATTCAAGTATTTGCATCCCTTTTAACAATGACAGTGGCCTACCTATGTTATAAGCAAGATTGAATAAACACATCTTAAGCATATTTTGTTGCTACATACCTAAGCTTCCCTATTTATTAATATTTACTTCAATTACATAAGTAATATAGCTGTAGCTGTACTGCAGAAAGTCTAAAAAACAGGAAAAGGAATTAAACCAAACCAATCATAACCCCTATCATTCGAACATAACTAAATCATCATGATTACTCTTTGGTTTAAACAGATCTCTCTTCTCAGTGAAGCTTTGAGTCTGGGAGGGCAGGCCTGCCAGTGACTGGTCTCCCTTGGGGGTGTTCTTTCTATATGGTGACCAGTGTTCCTCCTTAAAGAACCTCTGCAAAAGTAAATTTTTAAAGTTGTCATTTGTATACGCTGCAAGCTGTCCAGAACTGTTCTTATTTGTTTATAAAATAATGCGTATTATCTTAATTATCTTTATAAAATACACTATACTGCTAAAAAAAATAAATAAATTGTTTTATTTCCAGTGAAACGTTGCTAATAAGTATTAGAATCCTTTGGATTATTTTTCTCTTCCTCAGTCTCTTTTATCCCTACCTAAGTATATAGATTTCTCCCTACCTCTGAATTTCTCTCTTCCTTTATATGATTGTCTCCTTCTTTGCCAAGCTTCTTTTCCCACATTTTCCCTCCTCCTGTTAACTGACTACAAAATGGCATTTATATTTAAAATGTTTTTAAAAAGAACAAGTGTAGTTTAAGCTTTAAAATCATGTGAGTTGATAAAGAAAACAGATTGGTAGTTTCCCAAAAAATTAAGCATGAAAGCCTGGTGTGATGGCACCGGCCTGTAAGCCCAGCAACTCAAGAAGCTGAGGCAAGAGGATCACACATTTGAGGCCAGCCTAGCAATTCAGCAAGACACTATCTCCAAAAACGAAAAACAGTGTGTGTGGAGTGGGGATGTAGCTCAGTGGTACAGCACGCCCGTGAGTTCAATCTCTACTATACCCTAAAGAACTGAAAGCCAAGAGTCAAACAAATATTCATACATCAATGTTCATAGCAACATTATTTGTAATACAAAAAGTAAAACAATCAAAGTGTCAGCAGATGAATAGATAAATAAAATGTAACAATACCTACAATGGAATATTACTCAGCTTTAAAAAGTTAAGAAATTCTGATATATGCTACAACGCTAAAAACTGCTGAGGCTGGCTTTGAACTTGTAATCCTCCTGTCTCAGCCTCCAGAACCGCTAGGATTACAGGCATGTGCCATGGCGCCCAGCAAGAATGTACTATCTTTATAGTCTAATAGAAAAGTATTTTTAAAATGAAAGGGCCATATGATAATTAAAGTCAATGAAGCCTATAGGAGATTTTATACTAATTTTTCTTTTTTCATAATCAAGGATTAAATACATCTAAAGTTGCCACACTGAACGCTGCATACATAAATATAGAGCTATATAGCTTAAAGTTAATTAAATCATGATACAAAATTAATATATACTTTTTACATCATAAGAAAAATATGCCCTACATTAGATATTTTATAATATCAGTATGTTTAATTAATACTGCATTAAGAAATACAAATTAATAAATAGTCTGATTTAGATGAAGACAGAATAAAACTTACGTTTCAAAAAGGGCAAATATAAATAAAACCACAAAAAACAGAACATTGGTAGCCACAACAGCAACTTGATCAATATTTCCTTGGGAATCCTGAACTTCATCTATTCTTGCTATAGGTAAATAAGAAAAAAATTAGATTACCTATATATCTAAATTTTTCTTAAGATACTAAAATAATGTGTTACATATAGTTAATTCTATAAATAAACATTATTTTTAGGCTTCAAAGCAGTTTAAAAGTAACAGGATTTCTACGACACAAATATTTTTTCCTGCAGTACTGGGCACCATAATACTCACTAAGCTACATCCCGAGTCCTTTTTATTTTTCACTCCGAGGCAGGCTCTCACTACCTTACCAAGGCTGGCCTTAAATTTACAACTCTCCTGCCTCAGTTTCTACAGGTCCTGGGATTACAGATGTACATCACAGTACCTGTCCAGGAATAATGGTTAAATCATACTTAAAAATAATTTTTAAATGGTACTACACAAAAGTAAAGTGAGAGCTGGGGTTGTGGCTTGGTGGTAGAGCCCTTGCCTAGCATGTGAGGCACTCGGATAGTCTCAGCACCACATACAAATAAATAAAAATATAGGTTCATTGACAACTTAAAAAAAAAAAAGTAAAGTGAACCCCCAACAGGAGAAATATTTCAATTTTTTTTTTGTGTTGGTGATCAAACAAACTAGGGCCCCACACACATGAGGCAGGCACTTCTGCCTTGAACCCCTGGCAATATACTTCAATTTTATATCTTTAGGGAACATTCTCTTTGGTATCTCTAATCAAAATGTGTGTATTTTACAGAATTTGGTAATAAAATGATATAGAATTCTGTAAGAATGTATTTATTTAAATTTGCTTTAAATTTCAATTGCTGATTTTTTCTATCTTACTAAATCTGAAATTTAAAATGATTTCATGAAGAATTAAAATAGTTTTACTAAATCAGTCCCCAGTCTACGATTCACTTAAATAGATATGTATTTTTAATTTCAATGTTACATGAAATCAGTATTAATAAAAATTCTTATGCCATTTTAAAACACTGCCATTTAAAAAAATCCTTGTTACTCATATCTTACAGAGAAATAACTAGTATTTGATGGGTTTTTTTTATAAAGTGGGAAGGCAAAGTGAGTGTAATGAGTTCTCATCTTGAACCATGTAGTTAAACTGCACACTTAACTTGAGCTATTCCCAATGTCACTGTGATGTATGCCCCATTTACATCCACACATGTAAACCCATTATGCCATTTTGCAATTCATCCACGTACCCAGCATAAGCCATGTGAGTATGTCAAAATGTGTCACTTATGTACATTATTTTTAAGTGTGCATGTAGTCGCAGGAAGGGGTTGGTACAACTCTCCTATGACAGTAAAGTTTCTATCATTTTTAATGATGGAATCTGCCTTTCTACCTCAGCATGCTAGAGAAGGATATCCTCCTCCAATAAAAAGTAGATTTGGAAATGGTCTTCTAGACTTGGGCGGAATTAGCAACTTGAGATATCTAGCTTGAGACCTTCCTTTCTTCTAACCATGCAAAGAGAACAGGTCACCTTTGTTTAGATCTTTTTTTTTATTTTTTTCCTTTAAGTTGTAGTTGGACACAATATCTTTATTTTTATCTATCTATTTTTGTGTGGTGCTGAGGATTGAACCCAGGGCCTCGCATATGCTAGGCAAGCGCTCTATCACTGAGCCACAATCCCAACCCCTTGTTTAGATCTTCTTCAAGGTCCTTGGGGCCCAAATACTGTTTTGATTATTATTTTTTTGGTAGTGCTGGGGATGGAACCCAGGTCCTCACACATGCTAGACAAGCACTCTACTCCTGAGGTATATTCCCCACATCCCTTGTACTGTTTTGGATAGACCTCCTTGATTTTCAATCACTACCTAGAAGGCAGTCTTGACTTCTTCAAATCAACTATCAGCACTGCCCCAAACCAGACTAGAATTTACACTGTCTTAAAAAATACAAAGAGCTGGGGATGTGGCTCAGTGGTTAAGCACCCCTGGGTTTAACCCCCAATTCATTAATAAATAAAAAAACAAGAAAAAAAAAGAATTTTGAGGAAAGACTACATTAATATATTGATTTTGAATTCTATGTAAGTGGAAATTATCATCCCAGGATAAACCTCTATAAACTAGAATATTTTAAAAATTGATTATGAACATTTTATCTAAACATGTTCTAAAATTTAAAAACAATTTTATATGAAAGTGCTTGGCAAATTAACACCGGGTCTTTTCCATAGCTTTGAAAATTCACTGAGGGTAGGGACCAGGCTACAGTTTAACATGGAAAGACAATCCCCAACAAGGACAGTTAGCACTTAAATAGTGTGTTTGATAAAATATATCCACTTCCTAGGTTGGACATTATTTATGAGGCAAGAAAGATCTAAAGGATGAAAAATGTACATTTACAAAGTATAATAAAAGAATGAAAAAAAAAAAGAGAAACCATATGGCAATAAAGAGAAACCATAAGGCAATAAAGAATTACTTGAAACAGAAAGGCACAGTTTTAGAAAACTGATTGTTCGAAAATAACACGAAATAATTCTTAGCAATTTTTTTTTGGGGTGCGGGAACTGGCGATTAAACTCAGGGGCACTCAACCACTGAGCCACATCCCCAACTTTATTTTGTATTTTATTTAGAGACAGAGTCTTACTGAGTTGCTTAGCATCTCACTATTGCTGAGGCTGGCTTTGAACTCTGGATCCTCCTGCCTCAGCCTCCCCAGCCACTGAGATTACAGGCGTGCGCCATGGTGCCTGGCTTAGCAATGGTTTTAACTCTGCCAACATGAGAGAGTCAAATAACTGATATGGGAAAATTTCTTTTTAAAAAAATCAATTTAGGTACCTTTCAGTTTTGAAGCTTTTTCCCAAACACCCATTATACTGTCCTCAGAAGAATAATCCAGGCAAACAACCAACAATCTTTAGAAACACTTTGATAATGCCAAAGTAATTTACTCAAATAGGTGAACAGTACCTTCTTCAAAATTAATATTTTTACATTGTCGTCCTGAGTCATCCACTCGATGTTCTCTTAAAAAGAAAAATGTAAATACTGTATTTTGAAAATGATTAATATAATACAGAAACAGTTCAGATTTAATTCTAGTTTTCTATTTTTTTACATTCTGATATAGTTTCCTTAATGACTTCTGAGTAATGAAATTACTACTGATGAATACAACCAATAAACTTAAAAAGACAGAAGTTATAATTCATATCATATTAACCATAAAATGAAAAAAAATACCCAATGCATCCAAAAGCATATGTGATCTACTTTAGTCAGTATTTTAAATTTTCAGTGATCTGAAACATTAGATACAAATGCTTTTGGACAATTGGATAAAGCATTCTAAAGAAACAAAGTTAACAAAACATCTGTAATTTTCTAAAATTATCTCTAATATAAGAGACATACATTCCAAGCAACTTGTAAATTTAAGACACTTATCCATTCATCTACTTAAAATGCTGCTTCCGTGACATTCCCTTACTTAGAAACACGTAGTCAATAGGACCAAATCTTGAAAACAAATAAGATTAAATTTTTAAAAAGGTCAAACTTGAATATTCAAAGATCTTCATAATCTGTGCTCATTTATCAAGTTGTCTACTATTATAGTTGCCATCACTACATACTTTAACTGATCAAAGAATGTGAACACAACCATAATAAATATCAAAAACAAAGACTACATAGGGATAATTTTCTACCAATAATGACAAATCTTATTAAAATTTGTATCTATGAAAATTTATATCATCATCTCTAATTACCTTAACACAGTGATGATCAGAATAATGTTTAAAACTCCAACGAAGGCATTAAGTAAAGCTGGTGCTGTATACATGTCTATCTGTAGCTTAATCATATCCCATGTCACGCCCTTTTCTCCAATTAGAGCAAAACAAGTCTGAAAAACTTATTAAAATAAAAATGTACACAAATGAATTATTATATGGGAGGCACAGGCTTCAAAAAAAGTAAGACATTTGTCTCAGAATGGAAGTCACATTAAGGAATCATCCATCTACATCACGCATTCCCCACAGCAGCAAGAAAATTGGTTCTTGATTGGGGGGTGGCAACAACAATTCCCTTCTTCTATTGTAAAGCACATAAAAATAGATGAAGAGATGTGGCATTGAAATTTCATGGGGGTGGAGTAACTCGGAAAAAAAATGTCTGAAAAGACTCCTTAAGGAGACAATAATAAAAGAGTGAGAGAAACTGACGTATGTGCATCCACAAAGGACTATATCTAAGTTACTTGTCAATATCTCCTTTTTTTGCTTTTTGTTTTTGGAGGTATAGGGTGGAGGAGTGGGGAGGAGTGCTAGGCATGAACCCCAGCACTTCAAGGATGCAGAGCATATGCTCTACCATGGAGCCACACCCCAGCCCCAGGATCTTCTTTTCTCAAAAAAAATTCCAATTGGAAATTTAAGTTATACAGTTTCTTCAATAAATAAATTATAAAAGTTTAATCAGTTTCATTATAACAAAGAAAACATCATATTTTAGGTCAAATATTTTAAATATCACTATTTTTATACCCAAATTATATATATTTGATATAATTTAAAATTTGATCTGTGGCAAAACTGGACATCAACAGTACTGTGGTTTGCTTTCCTGTCTGAATTCTATATGAGGCTCTGTTAATCACTAGCATATAACCTTAGGGTGAGGAGGAAGTGAGATGCTGTACCTGAAGAACAGTGCCCAGCCCATAGCAAGCATTCAGTAAATGCACCACTTGTTGAGTGCTTACTACTGAAGAAGCCATCAAATCTCTTCAGGCTTCCATTTACTTATCTATAACACAAACTGTTTAAATGAGATAATCTTTCAAAACTTTGAAGGTGGTCAACAATATTCTATCTACACAAGGTATTGTGCTAATAATGAGGAGGCAGAGTGAAAAATAAGAAGACCCAGGCTATGTCCTCGTGTATTTTACAGTATAGCCTTAAGGTTCAACCCGTCTACATTTGTGCTTATATTTGTTCCAGAATATTAAACCAAAATATTAGGATTCGGATAAACCTATGAATTAGACCCTATTCTGTTGAGCCTTTTTTGGCTCAAGAAAAGGAAGTAATGGGAACTGAGGGTGGGGGTGAGGTGCTAATGATGAAGTAAACTGAGTTAGATCAAAACTGATAATATTCTTAAACGTAATCAACAGCCAAAGCATAGACCAAGTATCTGGATTTTCAATATTTTCTGGACATTAAAAATGACGGTAATCATTATACAAAATACATGCATGAAGATGTGAATTTGGTGTCAACATACCTTATATACAAACAGAGATATAATAAATTTTGTTATAAAGATATATTAAGAATTGTAATACAAAAAAAAAAGAGAGCTCATGTATAATGGCATAATTTGGCATGAACATACTTTATATACAGAGTTATGAAAAATTGTGCTGTGAATGGATAATTATGAATGAAATGCATTCCACTATTGTCATGTATGTAAGAAATTTTTTAAAAGTCCCAATAAACAGCAACAAAAAAATTTTAAAAAGCATATCATATGAAATTTCTGAAAAGCAGTAATAAAGAAAAGGTACTAAAACAACAACAACAAAAATCAGCCAAAGAAACAAAGACATATTACATACAGGGAAACACATTTAAAAAAAATCATAGATATTTAACATGAAATATATGAAATAATACGCATGAAATAATCAACAACCAAAACAACATAATAACAAAAGAAACCAGTCCCAAATAAAGAATCATACCACATATTTCCAAGTATATGAAATTCTAGAATGGGAGAAAATAAATTATAATGACAGGGAAAGTGGAATAGTTGAAAATAAAATCGTATAGAGCAAACTTCTGAGATAATCAATGCTTATATTTTGATTGAAACAACATAATTCATATATTTGTCAAAATATCAAAGTATACTTCTAATTGGGTACATTTTATTCTATGTACATTATTTCTGAATAAAGTTGATTTCAAACACACTAGAAAAAAATGACTAATTTCTCTACTCAGCCAAATGAATTTGCCTTGGGGAATTATTAAAATCATATTATTTTTTTTTTACACTTAGCAAAAGGATAGAGGCTTTGGAAGAAATAGTAAACACTTTCAACCGGGCATGAGAGTGCACACCTATAATCCCAACAACTCCGGAGGTTGAGGCAGGAGGATCACAAGTTCAAGGCCAGGCTCAGCAACTTAGCAAGGTCCTAATCAACTTTTCGAGACCCGGTCTCAAATAAAAAATAAAAAGGGCTGTGGATGTGGCTCAGTGGTTAAGCAACCTGAGTTCAATCCCAATGCCCCACCCTATCCCCCAAAAATCCACAAAACGAAACACATTTTCATTTTCTTCAGCCGTAGAAAAGTCTTAAAGCTATGGGCAAAGGGTTAAAGGGTAAAGAATCTTATAACTTTCCTCAAATACTTTAGTAAAAAGAATTGTTTCCAATAAATGGAAAAATAAACTCTTGCAAAGATGTCAGATCAAACTGATTAGTTGACAAGAGTCAGAGTTAGGTCCGAACCTGAATTTCCCATTTACTATTTGGGTAACCAATTTTCTTAGGCTCTCTCTGCTTTTAGCATCCTCATCTGTAAAGTGGGACAAATAGCATTTAACTTGAGAGAACTGGTGTCAAGGTAAAATGAGCCTTGCCTCACTGCCAGATCACTTGCCTAGCACACAAAAACCCTTTGGTTCAATCCCCAGCACTGCAAAAAATTAAATAAAAATAAAAATTTAGTTTCCCTCATTTTGCCCATCAGCCAGGAGGTTTTATACTGGATTATATGTATCTTTAAAACACAAAGGTTTCCCCAATTCAAATTCAAATCATGACAAGTGAAGAGCACCTACCTGGACCTAGAATAAATCCTAATGCTTGACACGTGCTTGTATTGGCCATAGAACTTGTTCTTTCCTGAAGGGAAGTAGCACCAGCAATATACGATCTAACCACTGCAACATTTCCTAAGAAAAGACACAATAAACCACAATAAAAGAGAATATCCTTCAATTTATAACATGGCACTTAATTTGGCTCTATGCAAAAAAAGAAATGTTGGTCAACATTATAGTCACTGCTTCCTCTTTATGATCATACAAAGCATTTAAGAAATGTTTATTGAACAAATGCATGAATTAATGGAAAAGAGAATTTTTAGTAATATTAAAACACAGGTTTGGATAGAAAAATGGCATTATAAAAATATCAAACTTTCTCCATTAAGCACTCAGAAAACTATGAGTGAATGGCATACTACCATTTTTTATTTGCATCTATTTTGAGACAGAAAGTTGCTCAGTTGTTCAGACTGCCCTTGACCTCTTACCTTAGCCTCCCAAGTAGCTGGAACTATAGACATGCACCACCATACCAGGCTTACAACTATTTTTAAAGGAAAGTCACAAACTCTGCATGCATAGACCTGAAATATATGAAACGGGGGGAAAAAATCCAATAACAATTTACCTCAAGAGTTTTATTGAGCCAGGTGTGGTAGGGCATGCCTGTAATCCCAGATGCTTAGGAGATTAATACAGGAGTATCACCAAGTTCCAGGCCAGCCTGGGCAACTTACCAAGACCCTGTCTCAAAATACAAAATATAAGAGGGACTGGGGATATAGCACAGTGATAGAGCAACCCTGGATACAATTCTCAAAACCCAAAACAGTTTTTCTGAGCACTTACTATGTTCAAGAGACTCTGCTAGGAGCCAGAGAAGATTAAAAAGTGTCATAACTATCTCTAATTGCAAAGAGCTTACCATCTGACTAGCAAGAAAGGATTAAACCATGCAAGACTATAAGAAAGTGCCAGAGAGAGATCAGAGAAAAGGAAGATCGAGGGATAGAGTGGTGTGGGAGGGCTTCACGTAAGATTTAGAAATTAATCTGCATCTTGAAGGATAATGATGGGAACAAAGGAGAAAACCTACAGGTAATGAAACACAATGAGCAAGGCAAAGTGATAGGAAAACATATTTGCCTCTTTGTAAGAAAAGATGTCTGTGCCCAATTGTGAGATACTAGACTAAGAAGAAATAAAGCCAGGCAAGAGGGCATAAACATTAGGATGAATGTGAAGTTGACACAATCAGACATATACATACAAACATATTACCTGCTCCAAATCCCACCAATCCACGAGCGGCCAACATGTAGTATTTATTATGAGAAGCTGGAACGTGGACATATGCATAGAGGCAGTTGGCTGCCACTGAAATAAAGATGGAGATGACGAGAGGTTCTTTCCGTGGTCTATGGTTAGACCATAAACCAAATATAGGTGAAGCTACCATTTGACCAATACTAAACGAAGCAATAACCCAGCCCAAAAAACTTGCATCAGCTGTCTGATCAATCTGCAAAAAAAATAAAATAAAATAAACACAATGCTTTAAGAATTGTTTACCCAAGAAAGGTAAAGTTTAAATACATTTGTCTGACCATGTAAGTCTTTCTATTAAAAAACAGAAATAATTCTAACATAGAGATTCTGAACTCTATTACAGGAAAGAATTCAAACTTCTGACATTACAATTAAATGTGCTAACAATTCACTGTGTTAGAAACAATGAGGTGCCACCAGAAATCAAAAGCAAGTGGACAAGGCAAACTGTACTTCTGACAGAGAAGCAAGCTAAGGAACCTGGCTAGCAAGGACGCCTAGGTGGGCAGTCTGCCCATTCATATATCTCAGACAGCACTACCTGCATTCTGATTGGAAGACTTGGGATACAATCTACACTATTGGTTTATTTTTAAATTAGGGAGAGCAAAAGGGAAGGACTATAATTGAAGTGGCTACAATTGGATCCAATTAAGGCTGAATACTATATTCTGAAAATGCACCACCAGACTTTCTATTTCTCACACTGTATACAGGGAAAACATAATTAAGGGAGCTTCATTTTTTTTTTAATTTTTATGGAAATAAGTGGTGCATAAAAATCTTGTTGAAAAGATAATTATACTTTATATATAAATGTTTTATATATACATATAAAAATAATAACTTCATAAAAATAATGAGGTATTCCTTAATTCTTATAAATACAATTTTTTATATTTATGCTATCCCATAAGCAGACATTAGTGTGGTAAATCTATTACTATTATTTTTTACACTGGGCATAATGGTCAGATGGGTAAAACACAAAAGCTGACAATTCTCTTATTAAAAGAATTACTAATTCTTCCTTTCAACATACAGGGTCCATTCTGCTATTTAAAGAAGGTTTAGTTTTGGTTTTGGTTTTGATGCTACTAGGAATTGAACTCAGGGTCTCTTGCATGCTAGGCACATATTCTATCGATGACTTACATCCCTAGACCTACGGAGGGTTTACTATCATGAAAAGTGAAGAGAGAACCACATGACTAAAACTCAGAAAATACAACACTTTCAGAAAAATAGAAAACTTTCGTTTACAAAAGGGACTGTGAAACAAATCAACATAAACAGTCACTTGGGGGAAACAAGAACCATTAAACTTTATAAAATGAATTTAAATAAATATAGAAAATCAACTCAAAAATCAAGAGCTAGGTGTGATGGTACATGTCTATAATCCCAAGTACTCCAGAGGCTGAAGGATCACAAATATGCAGAAGCCTCAGCAACTTAGTAAGATCCTGTCTCAACATAAGAAATAAAAAGAACTGGGAATGTAACTCAAGGGTAAAGTGCCTTGGGTTCAATCCCCGGTCCAAAAAAAAAAAAAAAAAATTAAATAAAAATAAACTCCCAAAGTGTTGGGTACTGAAGTTCAAAACACTGTTCTCTAAAATGCAACAGTACTGACAAAGTCAAAGTTCTAGCAATGTTAATGCTTTGCTAGGAGAACTTAGATATGAATGTGTGTGTTTCAAAGCTCCTCACCTATTATCGCGAGATAATTGCTTAAATGTAACATAAACTCTGTATCAAAAACTTATGACAGGCAATAGGGATACAAAAAATAAACACAGTCCCTACCATTAAGGAGTGTCCCAACTAGGTTCTACTTAGCTCCATTTGAAAAATCCTGAGTAGTTGAGAAAATAAATAATATGCTTTATTATTTATATTATAATATATTTGGATTTTTTTGTTTGTTTTTGTCTTCATACCAGGCATTAAACCCAGAGGCATTTAACCACTAAGTCATATCTTCAGTGTTGAGAGCCACAGCCCAAGGGGCCCCAGCAAACTTCCAGCTGCCAGCAAACTTCCAGCTGCCAACTGATTGGCTCCTCTGCGGTGATGCTCATTGGGCTGTTTCCCCGCCCTTTCAGACCATGGAGCTGCTCACTGGGGGAATTTTTTGGCTCCGCCCACGCGACCCAACCAATCAGCCTCAAGAGGAGGAGGAGTGTGGGAGGTGGAGAGGCTTGTGGGAAGCCTGTGGTGGCAGATGGGCTCTGAAGGTTTTTCCTGAGGAGCTGTTTTGTTTGGCTAGTGTGGTTCTAAAAATACAGTTCGTTTCTTTTGACAAGTGGCTCCTGAATTGTGCCCAGCCAGGCTGCGGCACTTCAGCCCATTTTTTAGTTTTAATTTTGTGACAGGGTCTTGCTAAGTTGCTTAGGGCTTCACTAAATTGCTGAGGCTGGCTTTGAACTTGTGATCCTCCTGCCTTCACCTCCAGCGCCTGTCTGGGATTACATGTGGGCACCACCAAGCCTAGTCACTTTAATTCTGTATCAGTCAGGTGGGGATAACCTCCTCCAGAGTTTTTATAAAAATTATTTGAGCCAACATATGTACAGTGCTTAGGAGCAGGTCACTATATTACATGCACTTAGTGACTTACCTATACAATATAAGGACAAATATTTCTTAGTGTTTTCTTTTAATAATATGCCAGTTTTATTATCATGCTATATTATCATAACTCATCAACTCCCTGACACAATGAAATAAGCTATCACTCTAATTCATACTTTGTGTTCTAAGAATGTGTCTTCCTAGAGGTCACCCCACCTTTGGGCAACACTTCATTGATGCCTGTCTGTCACCAGGGGCCAGGAGACACATATTCAGAATAGAACCAAATTCTTTTGGAAAATTTGCTGCTTTTTCTTTATTTGTTTTGTGGGAGAAAAGTTTAGCCTAGCTTTTATCTTTCTGACAGATGATAAGCTAGATAATATTTTGCACACACTATCTTAAAAGCAAGACATCCTGCAACATACTATCATAAAATAATTAGTATCTTGAAATTCAGAAAATGTCTGCCATTTTCTAGCTGTGTCACCTTGGACAAAGAACTTGTCTTCTCAGCCCAAATTCTTCACGTGTCAAATAGAACTAACAGTAACTACCTCCCAGGGTTGCTCTGAAGTTCAAGGATGATGTAGATAAATCTTAGTACTTTCCAGATTGGCTGCACCAATTCGCAGCCCCACCAACACTGTATGAGTGTGCCTTTTCCCCACATCCTCGCCAACACTTATTGTTGTTTGTCTTCATAATAGCTGCCATTCTGACTAGAGTGAGATGATATCTTAGAGTAGTTTTGATTTGCATTTCTCTAATTGCTAGCGATGATGAACATTCATATATTTGTTGACTGACTGTATACCATCTTCTGAGAAGTGTCTGTTCAGGTACTTGGCCTACTTATTGATTGGGTTATTTGTTTTTTTGGTGCTTAGCTTTTTTAGTTCTTTATATATCCTAGAGATTAGTGCTCTATCTGATGTGTGAGGGGTAAAGATTTGCTCAGAAGATGTAGGCTCTCTATTCACATCACTGATTGTTTCTTTTGCTGAGAAGAAATTTTTTAGTTTCAGTCCGTCCCATTTGTTGATTCTTGATTTTAATTTTTGCGACTGCTGGTGGGGCTGCAAATTGGTGCAGCCAATATGAAAAGCAGTATGGAGATTTATTGGAAAACTGGGAATGGAACCACCATTTGATCCAGCTATCCCTCTCCTCAGTCTATATCCAAAGGACTTAAAAATAGCATAATACATGGACACAGCCATATCAATGTTTATAGCAGCACAATTCACAATAGCTAAACTGTGGAACCCACCTAGATGCCCTTCAATAGATGAATGGATAAAAAAAATATGGCATATGTACACAATGGGATATTACTCAGCAATAAGAGAGAATAAAATCATGGCATTTGCAGGTAAATAGATTTACAGAAGATAATACTGAGTGAAGTTAGCCAATCCCAAAAAACCAAATGCTGAATGTTTTCTCTGATATAAGGAGGCTGATTCATAGTGGGATAGGGAGGGAGAGCATGGGAGGAATAGACAAACTCTAGATAGGGCAGAGGGGTGGGGAGGGGATATGGGGTTAGAAATGATGGTGAAATGTGATGGACTTATTACCTAAAGCACATGTATAAAGACACAAATTGGTGTGAATATATTTTGTATACAACCAGAGATATGAAAAAAGGTGCTCTATATGTGTAATAAGAATTATAATGCATTCTGATGTCATACATAAATTTTAAAAATTAATTTAAAAAAGGCTTAGTATTATACCTGGTACACAGGAAATTCTCAATATCATTATGAAATTTCTTGATCAAATTGATACAGTTTTGGGCAGAAGTTACATTTGTATTGCCAAAGGACTAGTTATCAGCTCACAAACTCAATGAATTTACATTTAAAAGCTGTCAAATGTCTACAGAAAGACTTGTAACTTTTCAAAATTCAACTTATTATGCAGAACATGCAGAATCATTACAAACAATCTTCCTTTGAGACTTTTGCAGGTTAAAAAGACTAGATAAGGGACTGGGGTTGTAGCTCAGTGGTAAAACATTTGCCTGGCATGTGTGAGGCCCTGGGTTTAAGCCTCAGCACCACAAAAAAAGTAAATAAAATAAAGGTATTATGTCCATCTACAATCAAAAAAAAAAAAGACTAGATAAAAGAAATGTAATTTTGGCAAAGAAACAGTTGCTTCTAATTTGTTAAATATCCTGTTTAAATTCCAATGACTCTGCCAATATGGAAAGAATGCTTTGTGTCATGATAATAATTTTTTTTATATAACATAACTTTTAAAATCAACTTCCAAGGATCTGAGGATATGGGTCAGTGGTAGAGGGCTTGCAAGTACATGCAAGGCCCCTGGTTCAATTCCTAATACTACAAACGAAATGTATGCTACATTTGTCACAGATTATGAACCAATACTGATAATTAGTATTAACGAAAGTCTGTGCTTTATTCAAATTTTCCCAGATCTTACCTAATGACCTTTTTCTGTTCTAAGATCTCACCCGGATACCACATTATATTTAGTCCTCATGGTTTTTTAAATATATATTTATTTTTTAGTTGTAATTAGATACAATACCTTTTTATTTTATTTATTTATTTTTATGTGGTGCTGAGGATTGAACTCAGGGCCTCACACATGCTAGGCAAGCACTCTACCGCTGAGCCACAACCCTAGCCCCAAGTCCTCATGTTCTTTTAGATTCCTCTGAGCTGTGACAGTTTCTCAGACTCTCCTTATTTTTTATGACTGATTTGTCTGATGTTTTCCTCATGATTAGAACAGCGTTATGAGCCTTTTTATGATATCCTTCAATGGTACACACCACCATACAATGGAATAGCATTCTATTATACAAATGTACCACATGTTGCTTCTCTACTCATTGCTTTAAGTATCTGTTGTATGCTTCAGCTTTTGGCAATTATAAATAAAGTTACTACAAACATTAGTATGCAGATTTTTGTGTGGACATAAATTTTCAAATCAGTTAGTTAAATATCTGGAAGCATAACTGCTAGATGCTACACTAAAACTATATTTAGGTTTTTTTAAGAAACTCCCAAGTGGCTGTACCATTTTGCATTCCCACCAGGAACACATGATAAATCATATTCTCTCTCTCTCTCTCTATCCTTTTTTTTTTTTTTTTTGGGGGGGGGTGGGGTGGTGATACTAGGTAGGGATTCAACCCAGGTGCTTTACCTTTGAGCTACCTTCCGAGACCCATTTTTTATTTTATTTGGAGACAGGGTCTCACTGAAAAGTATACTGAATAAGCATAGACTTTTTCCCCTTGTTATTATTCTCTAAATAATAGAATTTAACCTTCTCAAGTTTTCTATGTTTATTTTTAAAATATTTTTGTAGTTGTCAATGGACCTTTATTTTATTTATTGACATGTGGCACTGAGAATCGAACCCAGTGCCTCACACATGCCAGGCAAGTGCTCTGCACTGAGCCACAACCCCAGCCCTCTATGTTTATTTTTAATGATGCTTTATAAAATTTTTTTTAATTTTTATTATTGGTTGTTCAAAACATTAAATAGTTCTTGACATATCATATTTCATACATTTGATTCAAGTGGGTTATGAACTCCCATTTTTACCCCGTATACAGAATGCAGAATCACATTGGTTGATGCTTTATAAATTAATAACAAAATCTATTACATATAAAAACAATAGAGCTTAACAAACATTTACATAGCATTTACACTTTATTAGATATAATCTAGGAATAAATAAAGTCTCTGGAGAATGTGAAGAGATTCCATGTAAATTTTACTTAAATAAATCATTTTACTTAAGGGATCTGAGCAGCCATAAATTTTTGTATCCTGGGGTAGGAAGTCCTAGATATCAATATCCCAAGAAAACCAAGGGAATACTGCATATTATCTATTCTATTCATAATGTTGCCCAACAATCCAAATTAATTCCAAGGGAAAAATATGAAATTATCCCTCAGGAATATCATCTGTATATTTTGTGGATTAAGACTATGTCCAGCTATAATCCTGTCTTCTTAGTATAGCATCCATTTTACTCCAAATGTGTTCTGGTTAGCCCAAAACATATTCTGTTACTTTACTTACAAGGCTCTTTTGAGGAACTATGTCTAAAGTTATTCTAGCAGAGATTAAACTACAGAATACTAAAGAGCCCCTCTAGAAAATGTTCAACTACTTAAAACTTACTACTACTACAGTTACTTATGAAAAGAACAGATAGAAAGGTACAAACCTTTTGGAGATATGGCCATATTGACATTATCACAATTGAAAACCCTGTAAAGAGGCAAACCTGGTTATTTACAATTATAACAATTTAATCACTATTACAGACATAATTTTTGGAATTACAGCATGGATTTTAAAGTATCATTCTAAACCTATAAATTTGTACACACAAATGCGTAATTTATCAAAAAGTGTCATTTTTAATTATTGAAAGGAAAATAAATACTAAAGACTGAAAAAAAAAGAATCATAGTACATGCCCATAATTAAGACAATAAAAGCAGAGAACCTATTTCTCCTCACTCATGTAGTCTCATCTCTAAATGGACATTACTAAAAGCTTTAAGTGTTTATAGCAGACATAAATAGAGGAAAGGCCACATTGTTAGACAGGAAGTGGCAGGCTTTTAGCCTGTGTTCTTTGGGATAGAGAATTCACTGTAAGGGAAGACTAGGAAAAAGGAAAATGGTCACATACAGGGAGTATTGGATATAAAGAACCAAGATTATTCATAATGTACATATCTTTTAAAAATTCACTATCACTACAAGCCTTTACTGCTTAAGAACTTCAGTGAGAAAATGCCAATGCTATTTATCAATTTTACTTGTTTGTTTCTCTCTCTGTATATGTGTGTGTGTTGCTAGAGATCAAATCCAGGGACTCACACAAGTACTCCACCACTGAGTTATAACCACAGCCTTATTTGTCAATTTTAAAGGTTAACCATATCCAATCAGAAATTCTAGAAAGCCTATTTGTAAAAAAGTTTAACTGAGATATAATTCACATACTATACAATTCATCCATTTAAAGTACACATTGGATAGGCGAGTAGTGCAAGCCTGCAATCCCAGAGACTCAGGAAGCTGAGGCAGGAGGATGGCAAGTTTGAGGACAGCCTTGGCAACTTAGCAAGAACTTTAACAATTCAGTGAAACCCTGTCTCTAAATAAATAAATAAATAAAAGGTCTCAGGGTGAAGTTCAGTGATAAAGGACCCCTGGGGTTAAATTCCAAGTACCAAAGGTAAATAAATAAAAAGTATTATTATCCAATGCTGAATCATGCATAGGACTGGCAGGTGAGAAAAAAACAGGAATATACAAAAAAAAAAAAAGTCTACTAGAATGACCTGTTTAAATTTATCTTCTGAAAGAAACCACTTGTAAAAATCAATGCCTACAAATTTAAAGAATCTAAACTTGGAAAAAAGTTAGTTCTCTAAAACATTTCACAATATTGGTAATTCTTATGTTTCCTCATCCTTTTAATTCCCCAGTACTGGGAATTAAACCCAGGGGAGTTCTACCACTGAGCTACATCCCCAGCCCTTTATTTTTATTTTGAGACCAGATCTTGCTCAGTTGCCCAGGCTGGCCTCGAACTTGTGATCCTGCTATCTCAGCCTCTTGAGTCACTGGGATTACAGGTGTGTGTATCAGCCCTCTTATTTTTAATATGGTTACAGATATTGATATTCTGAAAAGATTTCCTTATAAAATTTTACTTTTAAGTAACTATATATTTATAAGTAATGATACTACATTAAAATTCATTAAGCAACACCAATTAATATTCTTATACTTTACTATTTGTATGTTATGGCAATGAGAAAACTAAATTAAGGCTCAAAGATAACAACAACATAAATAAAAAAAAAAAACAGTTAAACTAAACTACATCAAAATTTAATGACACTTCATTCACAGAGTCGCAGCTTTTCAGGAGGGTGGGAGGTTGGGTGGGAGAACGATTTGAGCCCAAGAGTTCAAGTGGGAGTTATTTAACAAGTATAAAGTTTCAATTTTATAAGATGAGTATATTTTAGAGATTGGTTACATAACAATATGAATAAGATATGCTTAAACCACCGAATTCAGATAGGGTAAGATGATAATTTTTATGTTATGTATTTTTCACACCCTAACAGGTAATTTTAAAATATTAAATGAGGTAAAAATTAATTGTGAATTTTTTAAATTTTTTATAATGTCTAATACTTACCTACACTGCTGAGAAACATAGTAAGATACAGAATCCTAATAGATCTCCATCGGCTCTTATAATGCTCTTCAGTTTCTATAATGTCCCATTCTCTAAATGTAAAGGATAAAAAGTAATATAGGTTGAGCATCCTAAATCTGAAAACCCAAAATCCAAAGTCTCTAAAATTTGAGACTTTTTGAGCACGAACACGACACCAAAGTGGAAAATTTTACACATAAACCCCACATGATAGGTCATAGTCAAAACATAAACTAAAAATACTGTATAAAATTACCTTTGAATATTCCACAATCTGGAAAAATCTAAAACCTGAAGCATTTCAGATAAATCTATACAAATTGAATATCCTTGTCTCATTATGTGTTTGGCATGTGTGGTTCTAAAAATAAAGTTCGTTTCTTTTGACAAGTGGCTCCTGAATTGTGCCCAGCCAGACTGCGGCATTTGGTGGCCTGTACGGGGAAGCACTCCTCCGGTGCGCCCCGCTGGAGGCCATGGCCAAAAGAGCAGCCAGGAGCACGAGGAGCTCAGCAACCATCACCATGGTGGGACCGGGGCCTCCAGAGCCGCCTCCGCTGCCTCCACAGCTGTCGCTGCCTTAGCTCAGCCCCTTCAGCTTTTTTTTTTTTCCAAAATTAATGAACTTTATTTTTAGAACCACACAGGCCAAACAAAACAGCTCCTCAGGAAAACCTTCAGAGCCCAACTGCCACCACCGGCTTCCCACAAGCCTCTCAACCTCCCCCACTCCTCCTGCTCTTGAGGCCGATTGGCTGGGTCGCATGGGCGGAGCCAAAAAAGTCCCCCAATTAGCAGCCCCATGGTCTGAAAGGGCGGGGAAACAGCCCAATGAGCATCACTGCAGAGGAGCCAATCAGTTGGCAGTTGGAAGTGCTGGGGCCGCTGTGAACCAATCATCAGCTGGCAGCTGGAAGTTTGCTGGCAGCTGGAAGTTTGCTGGGGCCCCTTCCGCTGTGGCTCTCAACAACTATGAGCAGATCTTTATGTGTTAATAATTTTCTCTTGCTTTAAGTTTGCAAATGGTATGACAGAGATGTAATTTACAAATACTGTTTTCTGCTGTACTAATCATATAAATGAGCAAATTTTAAAAATTTCCATGGATCATATGTAGAAACAGTAAGTATAATTTACCCTTTATTGTATACAGATACTTAGAAGACAGAAGATAGCTTTAAAAAGCAAAACATTTGCACACCATTTTGCTATTGTTGGCATATACAAATCACAAGGGGACGTAGGTTAATAGCAGTACTGTGTTTGCCAAAAAACTTTGAATTCATTATTGAAGAACAAAACAGAATCCATATTCTAAGAGGACAGGAGAAATGTGTGCTCACTGAGGAAACAGTATAATGATTTAACATCTACAGAAATAAGAAAAAAGAAACTGATTCTATAAAGATATGATCAATGAGGACAGAAGCCCCAGTAATATTGTTTTTCACAGAGACTGAAATTGCAAAGAAAACTTGGAAGCACCTATAGCATTTTAGGTTACTCTAAGAGAGAAATAGCAAACTATATTCTGTAGGCCAAATCTAGCCCACCACCTTTTCTGTATGACTTACGAGGTAAGAATACTTTTTACACATGGATATTTTTTTATCAATTTAATGTCTGAAAACATTAATTTTGAACTCCAATTAAGGAAATGTCATTCTCTTAAAATGCTATTCCTCTCATTAATAGACCAATGTTACAAAATATTTTATTCACTTATTATATTTAAAATTTTTTACCAAAAACTTTTGTAGAATTTGTTTTTTTGTTAGTATTTATCCTTATATTCTTGACTTTTACTTTAGGCCTGATAAAGCCTAAAATACTTCCATCTGGGCCTTCCCAGAAAAAGTTTATCCATCACTGTTCTCCTTAATTAAGCTCTATAAAGGAGTCCATTGGAAAGCACTGGAAACTCAAGAGAGGAATTGGAAACTAACCCCTCCATGTCAGCAAATTATCACCAACCTTGTTAGACAACAAGGACTATGGTTAACCAGACTCATGTCTGTGCCAGATAGTCAAATTGAACAAGGCCTGACAGGTTCAATTTGTTAAGGAATCAAATTATGTTTTTAAAGATAGTATACTTATTGAATTATTCTCAAAATATTCTTTTTATTTTTAAAATGCTAAATCTTAGCCGGCCACAGTGGTGCATGCTTAAAATCCCAAGGACTTGGGAGGATGAGGCAGGAGGATCTCAAGTTTGAGGCCAGCCTAGGCAAACTATTGCAACTGTAATTCAAAAATAAAAAAAGAAAGGGGCTGAGGATACAGCTAGTAGTAGAGCACTCCATGTTCAATTCCCAATACCATAAATACATTGTTAACTCTAGAACCTCAAACTGAAGAATTGTTAATGAAGGGAACTTTGAATTAGATGGACCCTAATGAGCATCAGACAATCACTTGGACGAAAGCTAAGGAAAAAAAATCTCTTTTAAATAGGCTTATTTGGACAGAGTCATAGAATGTGCAATATACCATAAGAACACATTTAATATGGTTAAATGTTGAGTTATGACTCAAGGAGCAATCTGTTTGGAAAACAGACAAAAAAAACCAACAAGAAGCAAAAGTGATTCTGAGAAACTCAAATGCCACAAAGTCCATGCACTCAAACGTGCACTTGACTAACAGGAAAGATCTTTAGCCCAAAATCAGAGGAAGTACACAATTCTATTAAGCATAGATACCTGGTTTTCAAAGCCACAGCAAACTAGAAGCCCTCAAATAAAACTAGAGAGAAGGGAGGTTGCTGAGAGCAACAAAAACAGGGGTTGTTGACCAATTACACAAATGAGATGAGGCATATTCCACAAGTAACAAAATAGGCAGAAAAACTAGAAAGCTGACATAAATAATCTTAAAAAGTATAGCAGTGTGCAATAAATTAGTAAGCAGTTTATTGAAACCCAAATGCCTTCACAGACCTACAGGACATCATTGTATTAAAACATACTTCAATGCTGATATTCATTTTAATGATCTCAAGATAAAATCAAGTAAGATAAAACTGCATTTCATATGCCCTGTTTAGTAAATAGAGAACTGGAGGGTTTCAATAAAAGAGATTAAAATATTTGGTGCTGAAGAAGAATTAAATGAGCAAAAATCAAAATTTAGACAGCTTAAGTCTATATATTTATTAATTTACTTAACAAAATAATTATTTGTTTTGAATGAAACAATACTGTTTTATTATTTAAATAATACTATTTAATTCTGTTTTCCTAAAGGCAAAAATACATACGTAACTCTGCAATTTGACAAAAAGTATAAACACTTCTGAATAGCAAGAATTATAAAAATCAAAATACTAACACACGGGTTGTGGTTCAGTGGTACAGCATTTGCCTAGCACTTGTGAGGCACTGGATTCGATTCTCAACACCACATACAAATAAATAAAAATAATTTTAAAAAAAATGCTAGCACGTTATCCCTTAAATATGTAAACATGGGTTTTCATCTGTACATTTGGCGTAGGACAAAAGGGGAGCCCACTTATTTGCTACGAAAGTATCAAGAAGTTATCAGACTATTAAATGAGTCAACACTAAGACCAGTATCTTCAAGTATGGATTAAAACCATCATTTTGTGAAATGTGAAAGTGATCAGTTCTAACTGGCCATCACAGTGCTGTGATTTGGCCATTGCAACTTTACTGCTGTTAAAAGTCAGAGAGGCAGCTTGGGTTTCTCATACATTCTGTATCAAACTCGAACAAAAGAGGAGTCGAGTTGACAAGAAAAAGCTCTCAGGCACGAATGCCTGACATAGGATTATCAAGAGCCTCCAGAAGCCCCCGGTAGTCTAGATGTCACCCGCACAAGGACACTTACCTAGCAGTGGGAGTCTCGCCCAGGAACAAACGCCAACTCCAGCAACCAGCTGCGGTGACCTCTAACCCTCGTCTCGGAGCGGCTTTCTGCTCTCAGTCTGCACGGGTTCCCTCCCCGCCCCTCCCGAGTGCGCCTAGGGGCGCCCTAGCCTGCCGACCCCGGACGACCACTCCCCACTATTCTCAAATAAACTCATTTTTTTTCTGCAGCGCCTTCTTTCTGGGTTTCTTGCTAGGTCGTAAACCCGAACCCAAGGCTGGCCGCGCCGCGGTCTGACGCCCTTCCCCACAGCTGGGAGCAAACCCCGGCTCCGGCCGAGCCGGTTCCCCGGTCAGCGAGGGCGCGGCCCCGGGAGGTAACAGCGGGCCTCCACAGCGGGAGGGTGAGAGGTCCTCCCAGCTCACCTGCTTCCGGATGGGTAGTCTCCTAAGAGCGGCTCCCGTTCAGAATCCTCGCCCGGGCTCGCCATAGTTACAGCCCCCACAGCGAGGCGCGCGGCCAGCTCGCGCGACACCTGACCCCTCGGGTTCAATCCCGGAGCTGGCCAAACAACCTTGCCAGTGCGCGTGCGCGCCTGGTGCCGGAAGTGGGCGGGGCGCCAGCGCTCAGAGGCGGGGAGAAGGGGTACGGCTCCGGGTCGTCGGCCTCCTGCCCGAGTCCGCACTCGCCAGCTTCCCCGCCTCGCGGGGTAGAGCCGGGGAGAGCGGGCGAGGGTCCAGGCGCCGCCCAGCCTGGCTCGAGCTCCTCCCTCCCCACGCCGCCTCCGGGTGCCACCGCCACTATTCCTGGAGAGCCTTCGGTCGGTGCAGCTGTGGGGCTGGCAGAGGAGTCCCGGGAGCGACGGCGGCGCCAGGACGCTCGGCCAGCGAACCGTGGGCTTCGCCCGGCGGCCAGTAAGTCGTCGGCCGAGGCCGAGTCCCGCGCCTCTCGGCGCGCCGCCTACGTGCGAACAGGCAGGGACACCAGGCGCGGCGCGGGGCTGGGGCGCGGGGCTGGGGCGGCGAAGAGGGAGGCCGAGGTGCGGACCCCTCCTCCCCACCTGCCCGCTGGGAAGGCGCCTTGCCTAGGGCTGGCGAGGGCCGAGGCCGAAGGGGGCGTCCCGCCGCGGTCCCGCGGAAGTCCCGCGGACTAGGGCCGGAGCCTTGCGAGGTGCCACTCAGCAGGGCCCGCTCGGGTCGCTGGGGTTTGGGAAAGTGCTTAGCAACGAAAGGCTCCTTATCACAAAGAAGATGGCATTTTTAGGAAATACGGTTGTTCTCACTACATCTAGATGCTATTTCCTTCCCGGTCTTTACGTATTAACATCTTATTCCTACAACTAGGCCTGTAGGCTAATTGGTTGAAGTAGCCCTTGTTTGTCCCGTAAATTAACATTTTATTAGAACTAGTGATTTCATTTGATCCCAACTAGCCTATGAGATAGGAAAAGCAAAGAAATTTTCTATTGTATGGAGCACTAAAGGTCCAGAGAAGAGACTTTCCCGCAGTCGCTCAGTGTGGAAGTGGAGCTCACTGGTCCATTTCACCTAATTTTTTTTTTTAATTATTTTGGTTGTAGATGGACACAGTACCTTTATTTTATTTATTCATTTTTGTGCGGTGCTGAGGATCCAACCCAGTATTTCACACATGCTGAACAAGCGCTGTGACCACAGAGCTACCCCCCAGCCCCTCAACTAATGTTTATAAGCTCACATTGTGTCAGATTCCACATGTTATGTGTGGCATTGCCATCATCTCTGAGCTTTGCCTCATTTGGGAACTTCTGGGCACATTCCACTGGTGAATAGCTAAACTTGAAGTGTCTTCTGTTCAGAATCATCTGAATCTAGACCCGATTAGTTGGTACTTGTTTGGTTGGGTCTTGCAAATTCATTTATAATAGCTGTAATTAGTTCCAACAAAATTCATAGGTAGGAAGTTTAGCATTTTCTAGCCATGTTTTTTCACTGTCATCCATCATTGCCTTTCTTTTAAAAAAATTATTAATTATTGATGGACCTTTATTCATTTATGTGTTTATATGTGCTGAGAATTGAACCCAGTGCCTCACACATGCTAGGTAAGCAAGCTACCACTGAGCCACAACCCCAGCCCCATCATTGCCTTTTTTAATCCCTGGAGGCTAGGGCAGTGTATGGCACATATGTAGTGGACAAAGGAATTTTTAGCCAGTATTGCACTTAACAGAAAGTTTGCTACAGGTATCTAAGCTGAAGGAATGCTTGTTGAATTACCTTACTTCATTCCTACATCCATACATACATAACCTGCTAAAGTGGGAATTTTCTCAAATACACAGAAATTGAAGGTAGGGAGATTAAGTTAATTTGCCTAGGGTCACACAGCTAGTAAGCAACAGTTTAAATGAGAAAAAAACAGCCTTTCTGACTATAAAGCCTGTACTCCTCACTATCATGCTTCCTGTGAAAAGAACAACAAGTATCTTTTCTCATATCTCTTAAAATGTCAAAACATATTCAATTTTTATGTTAATAAAATAATTTGCTATTGTACATTAGGCCAAGTATCACTTAAGTGACTTACTCAAGGTCACACAGCTAGTGGATTGACCCAGGTATTCTGCTCCTTTCCATTGCTGTGTCCAAGAGATGACTTCAGACCACAAAAACACATGCAATGCGTACTTGCAGGACTGGCAAAATCTAAATAAGCTCTAAGTATCTTTTAGGAACACACAGCATTCTTTTTCTTCCTGGTACTGGAGATTGAACTCAGGGTGCCACCACCGAGCTACATCCCCAGCCATTTAAAAAATTAGGGCTGTGTTTAAATACTTAGGTATGAAAGTGACAGGAGATGAGAGAGTACTAGATGGCATGATAGACCAGGAGTGCCACCTTAGCAATAAAGCTCATTTCTAAGAAAGACATTTCATTCCTTGGCACAGTACTAGAACTTCTGTTTTTGTTTCAATTTGTTTTTCCCTTTCACAATGGCTATTTAAAAACATAGATGGCAGTTGTTTCAGTTTGGCCTGATACCTAACTTGAAAACAGTGGGTCTCACTAAATAGCCCAGGCTGGCCTTAAACTTGTGATGCTCCTGCCTCAACCACTCAAGAAGTTGGGATTATAGGAGTATCTGGAATTATAGGCATGTCCCACCTCGCCTTGGCTAAGTAGACAGTTAAAAAAAACTTTTAGCCCTTTGGAAAAAGGAGATTAGATTCTTTCCTGAATGTTTCACATGAGGTTATAAAACAATCCACTTAGTAGATTTCCTTAGATGACCCTTCAAAGTAGATACCCACCACCTCCTAAACAAACCTATTTTCCTAATTTTCTCCAGTGTAAGGTTAAAAATGATTAAACATGTTACACAATGGTAGTAGATTTTTTTTTGGGGGGAGGGGGGTAGTTTTTGGTGGTGGTGTTGGGGAGTGAACCCAGGATCTTGTGTATGCAAAGCAAGCATTCTACCAACTGAGCTATATCCCCGGCCCCCTGTAGTAGATTTTTAACATTGGATATCTAAGGTATCTAAAGCCCTTCTTAGCTACTTAATCTTGTATAGAAAAAAGGTGATTTAAACGTGAAATTACAAAATTAAAAATTAGGTGTCTTTTTTGGAGGGTGGGAATAAATTTCTTGTGCATGGTGTTGTTTTTTAAAGTATTTATGCCTTTGAGGTACATATGTAACACATAAACAACATAAGGATAAAAGTCCTACAGAAATTAGGGCTGTTTAAATACTTAGGTATGAAAGTGACAGGAGATAAGACTACTAGATGGCATGATAGACCAGGAGTGCCACCTTAGCAATAAAGCTCATTTCTAGGAAAGGAATTTCATTCCTTGGCACAGTACTAGAACTTCTATTTTTGTTTCAATTTGTTTTTCCCTTTCACAATGGCTATTTAAAAACATAGATGGCAGTTGTGTCAGTTTGGCATGATACATAACTTGAAAACAGTGGGTCCTGTTTCTGCCGAAACTCATTGGTGTTAGTCCAGCTAGTGTCAGGGCTTTTAGTGTCTGGCGTCGTTCCAGATGGTGCCTCCTTCTGGTAAATTGGAGTTGTCTTTACTCTGAGCTTGGGTTATTATCTGCTCATGGTGATACTGGATACCCTGAGCACAGCCAGCCCTGCCTAAAAAAGACCTGCATAATTAGAGGGTCAGAAAAACCTGGCATTTTATCTTTTGGGGGCTGAAATAGAATTTAAGATTTATATAATTCCAAACCCAAGAATCACGCCTGGGTAAAAAAAAAAAAAAAAAATCATTTCCTTTTCACTAAAATAAAAAATCTAGGCTGGGATTGTGGCTCAGTGGAGTGCTTACCTGGCACGCGTGAGGCACTGGGTTCTAGCCTCAGCACCACATAAAATAAAATAAAGATATTGTGTCCACCTATAACTAGAAAATAAATATTAAAAAAAAAAGATCCATGAGAGCAGGAAAGTGCTTTGATCATCCTTGTAACACAGGGCCTAAAATAATGATTGGCATTATTTCTTAAGCACTTAAGAAGGAAATATTTGTTGAATGGAAAAAGTAAGCAATACTTTCTTAATAGTTCAGGAACTTAAATTTTTATTAAGCCATCCACGATGATTTAGCTCTGGTGAATTAATGATAACTTATAGGAATCTAGTAACCGGAATACCAGTTTATGTGTATTATGCCATAGATATGAATAATATAAACAAAGCTGTATATGCAGTGCTGTTTTTTCTCTAACATTATGTCAACACCAAATTTTTATCAAGAGTAATTGAATAACATGAAACTAGAGAGTGAATAAGTAGTGTTAAAATAATACTGTACTCTAGCTATACTTTGGATTTGCCTAATAAGTACATCATCAAGTAAACATTTGTGAGATGGTATGAATGATTTGGTTTGCTGGTCCAGTCCTAAAAACAACCAATTGCCAGCCCAGTTGACAGTGGGGTAAATTGTACACCTGGGCAGACAAAAAACATTAAGTTTAACTTGAAGTTTGTTAAAAATTAAATATATATATATGTGTGCGTGCATGCATATATATATATACATGCATATGCAGACAGCAATGATGTTCACAAAAAAACATACAAAACGATAAGTACTTAATAAAGTTCACTGATTGAAATGTAAATTTCCATTTTCCATTTATCTAAGTAGAATAAATTCTGAACCTAAATCAGGTTATACACACAAATTGAAACCACACCTTTCAGTTAGAAAAGATGGAGGTGAGTATAAAATAATCTTTAGAAGTAATTGAAAAGAGAGAGGTAAATGGTAGGCAGGTAGTAGCACAGACTAGTACTTGTCCTTCATTGTGGTATACAAGAGGAGTAGTTATAGTGTGGTACTTAGATCTTGAGCTTTGTGTAGGAGTTAGATTATGGCTATT